ACAATAATTGCACAAACAACATCTGAAATAAAAATATGGATAAAATACAATGGTAAAAAAAAATAATACAATCTAGACATTTTAGGCATAATTTGAAAAGATGAGCTTTTACTTTTACACACATAAAGAAATAGTTCCACTTGTATGAACAATGAATAGTCATGCCACGGGTATGGCCACAAGTTAACTGATGCCATGCACATTCAGTGATTTAAAACCAACAATCATTTCTGATATACATGAGCATTCAACACAGGTAAGCCGGAAGTGAATTATCTCCCATGTAAGTGAAGTATTTCAGAGAAGCCTTTGACCTGACCGAATGAAAGGCATTAGATTTGTAATTGCACAATGATTTATACTTAGACGAGGGCTTCCTGTGAAGGGATGAATCAGATCACCATCAAACAGGAAACTTGAAGAACCTAAACATCTTCTCCCTCCCATAAAAGATCAAGTTCACCTGAAAGTTAACTGATTTTTTCCTATATTTTAGAGCTATTCTTTTGGGTTTCATATCAATGTAAGGGTTAGTTATTGGTTATTGTCTTAACGTCTTATGAAATCTTGTCTAGGTAATCTCTTTCCTGAACCATTGTGTGGCACCAAGCATAAAAAAAACAAATTGTAGATGTGATATCAGTCTTTGAGCATTCCCCTCCCCCTTTTTTTAATTAGACTAAACAGTATCTTTAAATTGTCTGCTTTGATAGTTCATTGCCGCTGCTGCACCAAATTTGAGAAACATTATTAAAAGTATAAATTAATCCTAACAGAATAACAAGATAAATTATTTATGATATTATTTTAATAGAAAAATGTATCTTCCAATGGAAGGTCATTTTAAAAAACACTACTCACAGAGGCTAATGCAAAATTCCCATCAATCAAACTTGTGAAACAAACTTTTAAGTTAACAAATCACTTGAGTAAAATAAACAATTCTGAGACAATGCCATCCAGTAAAAGAATTGTTTTCTTTTTTTAAAATGTAAACATCTTGCTCTTTTTTTAATGGAGCAGTTGAAGGAAACATCTAGACACAACTAAACAATGACTCAAGCCTTAGATATGTTAATAAAAACTTTCCAACATGACTGGTAAAAAATTGTTTTCTGCAGCATTCCTATAAAAAAAGCTTTATTTGCTGGCCAAAATTCTAAGAAACATTACCCCTCCTCCGCCAAACATACTCATTCCTTTTTTTAAACAAGAGATAAGCAGGTTAAAACAGATTAAGAGTTGATGTTTTAGGGGTGCCAATTGGCTTATTCGGTGCAGACGCTGTAATTTTCTCAATTTTATCTGAAGTAAGTTTTTCAGGTAGAAATAATGCTGAAGAATTACCCTTGGACAAAGTTCCCTACACAATTCCCTCCAAAGATTAAACTGAACATACTAACATTGACTGCCTATCCCTGAAGGAAAGAAGTTAAATTTCTAGTTTTGGTGCAAAGGAATCAATGTGGTTTTCTATCACTATAGTATTGATGTCCTGAAAGCTGTGTGAAGCAATGAAACATACCATCTGCCAAATATATGATAACATTTAAACTAATAATTTTTTTTAAAAATGATTTTAAAAAACCTTTCAAAGAGGAAATAAGAGTCTTTATTGTTTTTTTTCCATGTGCCTTTAAATAAGAAATGAAGTTATATATAAATATATTTATTTGTATAAGTTTTTAAAACATGAAAGTTTGACCATATGAGAGCTATTTAGATAATTACTCATGAAGAATGCTGACCATAAACATGAATGCAGTTGAAAACTAAATAATAAAAAGACATAATTGATTTATAATGATTCCACAATGGGAAAGTCACTAAAGCCTGTACTTTTTTTAAAATGGCATATTTTATGGTCAACTAAGCTGATAAATGGACCATCGAAATTTTAAGCTTTACTGAATTTGGGTCAACATTTATTATGGCGATCTCTTTGGACATCCGATGCTTTACTTAATGGGGATTTTGTAACAATACACTTATCAGTCTTTTAGTTTCTCGACAACTGTTATGCACATATAAAATGACAAACACATGACATTTAAATATTCTTTAAATAAATATTGTTCCAAAGATAACGATACAAGTAAAATCTAGTGGAGATTGTTGGCAAACAAAAAAGCTGTTTTTAAACAAATGAAAACTGGTTTGAATTTCCAATTATTAAAGTTTTAGCATGAAACAAATTTATATTGTTAAGTAATTCATTGCAATGGTCATTGATATAAATTTTCTAGTAAACGAGCAAGAAAAGATTTTTAAAAAATGGAAAATTCATTTTTTTATAAGAATTTCTCCCATTAAGAATATTTTTTTTCAATTTTTATTCAGAACGTTTAATTATGTAAAGACCTAAAAAAACACTAAGCAGATAAATTATTACACAGATAATATGAGAGTAAAACAAATATGCAGCATATCACTAGACTGGCTCATAAAGAAGCAAGCAATTGTAAAGTAGCCATATTTCTTGAAGTTTATAATAATAATTTTTTTTAAAAAAGGCAAACAAGGCCAGATCATTGGGAAAGGTAATTAAAACAGAAAATTATTTGAATGACTAAACCAGTAGTCAAGGGCTTAATTAAAAAAAAAAAAAAACAGAAATGTTTTATAGTCACTTTTGTACATACAGTAATCAAGTAAAAATATTCTTACAAGAGAGCAATTCTTGGTTAAAAATAATAATATGAATTTTTCTTCTTCTTAAAATCTTTCAACATAAGTAGGTTTTCACATTGTTTAAAAAAAGAAAAGAAATTGGCATTGCCATCATTTGCAGAAGATAGTTTATCTTTATTTTTATCATATGTGTGCTACTGTTCTGCTGCAGAAGACTAGTAGACACAAAATTCATTGCTTTGTTTTGTCTTCAATAGTCTTCACTCTTTATAATTTCCACTTATAGTTTTATGACTTTTTACTGTTTTTAGTTTTTTTAGAATCACTTAGCACTTCAAGGTCCAAAGAAATTTAAGTGTAAGGATTATATTCTACATGATGATGATTTGTTTGAAAAAATATTTGTTTAATTTGTTGATGATTTTCTGATTAGATTTGTTATTTAATTTTCACTTTACATTTTTATTTGCATTATCACAAAAAAATGCTAACATTCAGTTCAAAATACATGAATTTATAATGGTATAGTCCTTGATATAATATGGGGGGTTTCATTCAAATATTGACAAATATAATTCAGCAAATAACATACAATTCCATTAAAAATAACTAAAATCTACATGTTAGTTTTGATAACACCAATATTTACAAAACGAGGGTGATCAACATCAATGAAAAAGTGTGCATCTATTTAAGTTTATTTTTCTTAGAAATAAAAGAAGAAATATAAATAAGCATTTTACATTTTGTTAACTATTTGAGTAAAAATCCAGATAATTGTCATTTAAAATGCCATCTTTTAAAAACAAATAAAGTTGTTTAGTCTGCTATCGCGAGGGAAAAAAAGGTATTTCCAAATTTGGTCCTCCAAATCTTTAAGTTTAAGTGAAAAGTAAGGTAAGGAGGAAAAGGTGTAAACTTTATCTTGCAGATGTAAATACTTTATGCAAGAAGGCAAGGACAGGACTAATCAAAGTTTTTAAAAATATACCACGCTTAAATATTAAGCTTAAAACACCAATGCTTATTCAAGAAGCCAGCTTTAAGCAGTGATTTTAAAGAACAATTTATGTTTATTTTTAACCACTTCTTTTCCTCATTTATTATATTGTTTATATGTTTGTAAATTTCTGAAAATTAAATATTACAAATATAGTCAGACAAGATGAATAAGCAATAATTATACATTTTTTCCCCGTCAAGTTGAACACTGACTTATAAAACTATACTTAAGTCGAAGGAGCAAATATATTGCTTTAAACTGATTAGTGAACCAGTACATTTTAATTTACAACAGTAAAAAAATGAACGGTATTAACAAATTTAAGTTCCTTTATTTACTCTATGTGCTAAATGTTGACCATTGGTTATGCAATAAAAAATTAAAACTTCATTATTGACCATGGCTATACAAATGGTCTTGTTCATCTTTTGCTTATTTTTACTATCACATCTTTTAGCAAAAGGTCAATACAATCTGTCATAAGAAGAACTGAGGGAAATATAAGACACATTCCATTAAAATCAAAGTATGCAGCTGTCACTTTAAAGACTTCCATTAATGAAACAGCAATACATTTAAAATGATGTTAACAAACAATTTTCGCTCCCAAAAAATATTCAAAGTAAACTTGTCAAGATTTATTAAAACAAAATAATTTTATACAAGAATTCCCCTAACTAAATAAGATTTCTAGTCTTACATAGAGGTTGGAAACCTATAATTATAAGTATGATTTTTAATGTATCCAATGACAGAAAACATAAAATGCTTCAAGTAAAATCTAGTTATTTACAGATTGAACACAATAAATATATGGGGCTATGTACAGTAATACGTAGAAACAAAAAAATATACACACAATGCACAATTATGTCTGGTTGAGTCTTGACCTATTGATCAAAGGCTGTATAAACTATCACTGAAGTAAGTTGGGTCACTTTTAAGGTGATAATTTACAACATCCACACTACATGAGTCAAACGCCTCTGCTTCTCACAAGAAATTACCGCTCTCAATACAAACAGGAAATCAAAGTAAGCTTATGCGAGGAAAAACTGAAGATTTAAATAAAATGGATATACGGGATGGTCACTAGGCTTTTAAAAAGTATACTTCAAACTTATAAGTAATTTTTACTACTGTATATAGTCTTTTAAAACTATTCTGAAATAAATTTATAATAAAAGCAAAGCCATAAAAAGTTCCCAAATTTGCTCTACATATAACATTTTTTAAAGTTTCTGTGAGTAAAATAAACTATGAAGGAAGAGTACTTTAAACAAATTAATTGTAAATGTTTCTAAACAAAATCAAATATAGCAATATCATCGTTTTATAATGTTGATATAATCAATTTTAGACTTGAGCGACAGTTATTCTAAAACAAAGGAAGAATTTATCATAATATTTCTCAATGTTTAAGTCCCCAATAGCAAACAGCCTCCATATATAACAAGACAGAAAACACAATGAAACCTTGGGTGACCCCACCAATATTCAAACTGTTCACACTACATAGAAGATGCCATAAATAGGTCAATATAGACAAAGTTACAATGTTGATAGCACTTTGACTCAAAGTACATGATGCAGAAGAATCCCTCTAAAAATATCAACAATTATTAACACATGTAAAATGTTTCTACCAGTAAATGCACAGCTGTTTACCCAAACAACTTATGTATAACACAAGACTGTCATGAACTGTTCTCCTTGAAATGCTGCATCCATACCAGGCACATCTAGGCAAGTAATTTTAACATCTTAAGATGCAAAGTTACTTGCATTCACAAACAACTTCAAATTATCTTTCCTTTCCAAAGTACTTAGATCCATTATGCAAATCCTCTGAGAAATGTATAAAACAAATGTTAAGCGTCTGATAAGTCAAGTCTGCTGATCATAAGGTTCACAACTAACACATCACAACCCCACAACATTGAGTTGGAACCATCCTTTGAAGTGCTTGAATAAGAGCAATGTAGCTTCAGTTTTAACACAACATACACAATTTGTTCATGGTAGAATAGTCTTTGATGGTTAGTTATCAGCATTCTGAAATAAGATGAACAGCAATCTTTAGGACTGGTTGATCGGCAGTCCCTCTTTATTAATGCATCATAATGCTGTCAGTTGGTAGTTTGTCAATAATATTATTGACATCCACAATTTTATGAATCCAGTTGTAAATTCGCCTAAGAGCATCATTGATTCTATCAACACAGTTTTTCCATACCAACCTTTCCAGTCTAGGGTTGTCCACAACACTAGGTGGGTATTTCATTACTAAGTAGTGGATGGCAGCCATCTTGGCCGGGTCAAGGGCTTTATTCTTGTTCTCCATCTTTTTGCCATTGATGTAGAAAACACCAGAAACGTTGCGGTCATACACCTCCCCCAAAGTGAAAATGCGGAATACAAGCTCTTTAGCTAGGCGTTCTCTTCTGCCTTGACAAGCTGATTCAGCCTCTTTTAACACTGTGGAACAAATGCTAATTTCAGATGTTCCTATGCTGCGCACTAGAGGCTTCCGTGTGGATGACATTGCCGAAATGATTTGGTCAGAACTCATATTCTTCTGGAAATCTTCCACCAATATTTCCCAGAATCTTGGATCCAGTATGACAGTTTTAGGATTGGATGATGTGTTGGAGAATCGCGCATTTGGTTCCTTGCTGCTTCCAGGACCCAACTCGAACTTTTGATTTTCATTCCCTTCATCATAAACCGTCACAGCTATACCACTCTGGCTGTCAACAATAGGAACGTTGATGTCTGAAGTCTGGACGCTGGCATTACCTAAAACCACCGGCATAAGATCCTGCTCAGAGGGCAGCTCCTGAACTGTGCTGGAGGCTGTTTCAGGGGTCTCACTAGGACTTGGTGCTTCCATCATAGCCTGGCCCTGCACCATGGAGACAGTGCCGACAGGGATGAAAAGATCAGAATTGGAGTCACTGCGCTTGAGCTCATCTGTTGCTGTGTAGTCAGAGATGGTGAGGTAGTTGGACAGTGCAGCTTTCAGGCTGGCTTTTGTCACTGCAGCATTGTTGATTGTGGTGGTTGGCATGGGTGATGGTGTAGAGGATCCTGGGATAAGGGGCTTGGGCTTACACTTGGGAATATTCTTGTTAGGGGTTACTGAGTTCGGGGGTATTGCCACTTGATGTGGAGGGAACAACTGACTCTCTATTCTCTCCACTCTTTTACTGAGCTCAAACAAAACATTATGGGAATCCTTAACCATGCTCAACATTTTGTCCATCTTAGCACACAGCTGAAGGAACGCCTGAGGTGTTACTGAGGCAGTAGATGTTTGAATCTGAGGGAATAATGAATGTACTGGTGGAAGAACCAAGGACACCTGGGGCATGTGCCCGCCCCCAGCCTGTACTGGAATCCCAGCTTGGGCAAGTAAATGGTGCTGCTGGGATTGTTGTGCCGGCTGGATTTGTCTGGTGGTTTGGATCTGCCTCTGTTGACCATCTGCTGTAGTTAGGACAACACTTTCTCCTCCCGTGGTCAGCTGCCCATCCTGAGTCAAAACAACATTTTGTCCAAGGGCTTGCTGTAGATTTTGCTGGGTCAGGACTATATTGTGCCCCATCTCATCCCCTTCTGCTTTAACAATAAAGTTTCCGGACATTGTCTGCTGCCCTGGTGTGGCTATAACAATATTCTGACCATGGTGGGCACCGTGAGAATGAATGACATAGTTTTGACCTGCCTGCTGTGTGTGTGGCGATGCAATGATCATGTTCTGACCACCAGCCAATGAGAATGTAACAACCTGACCCCCCTGCTGAACCACAGCAGACTCTGCACTGACTTGAGCTGTGTAAGCTTCAGCATAGTTCTGAACTTGCTGGCTGGTCATCTGGGCCTGAGTGGCGACCTGGGCCTGCACCTGGTGGCCATTCACCTCAATGGTTTGTGTCTGCTGTTGGTTATTTGGATTTCCAGAATTATCCTGGACCTGGTTGGCGGCAACCAGTGTAACCATGTTACCTCCCAGCTGAGCGGGTATTGTCTGTTGGTAGGAATTAGTGCTGGAAATGACCTGGCTGTAAGCCGGAGTGGAGGACATCTGCTGGGCATGGCTGTAGGCTTGGGCTATCATTTGGCTACTCAGTGTTGGTTGGGCTTGAGAGAAAGTCACCCCTTCTTGGCTGTAGCTCACCACATTTGGATTCATCAAAAGATCAGCCAGAGGCTTGGCCTCATTGTACTCTCCATTGTTAAATTCTTGGCTGTAAAATTCTGTATTTTTCTGCTCAGAGAGCAGGTCTAATTCACGAATGTCATCAGTAAGCTGAAAATACTGCTGTATGTGCTGTTGAGGGGGGCCCTGGCCGTTGGGTACTCCTGTTTGGTTGGCTGGTGCAGGGGCTGTGGTAGTTGTGGGAGCTGTTGTTTGTGTTGAGTCAGCTGGGGTACTGGTTGCTGCAGAACCCTAGAGAAAAGGAAATACTATTTTAATTTATTGTTTATTTTATTTTTAAAGAGTATACAGAGTTATAAAACCATTAAGAAAATAATATACTTAAAATGTTTGATGCACCTGGATGGCAAACATTTTTACAATTAACATTTGAAACTATATGGAAAGATGAAAATGTTCATTTTAAATGCACCATTGTTTTCTAGTATACCAAAAATTTTTTTTTTACTTAGCTCACCTTGGAAAGGACAATGTCAGGTCAGCCTGAACAATGATGAGACTTCTCATGATTGTCACCATGGTTTCATAACTAAAGCAAAGCTAACGCAGAACATAAATGTCCTAGAGGAAGGCACAGTGATACTTTCTATGATATGAAAAAGAGCATTAAAGCTCAAGCTAATCTCATACAGGGGGCTTTGCCAGAAAGTCACTAGAAATCAGACATTTTTAAAATGTATGTTTGTCCTTAGAGATAGCAGGAATTTGACGCAAATCTTCAAAGCATCACTAGCAGGTTATATAAAATTTGATGTGTTGAAGGAAAGACAGAAACAATGGTGCATTTGTTAAAAATTGTATTTATTTCTGATGACTGTAATAATAAGACCTTTAAAAAAAAAAAAAAAGAGTACATGCTTACTATGGGTTCATAACCAATGTCCAGACTGGATAAATGAAGCTTTAACTTAACTAAGAAAAAAAAAAAAAAAACAAAAAAAAAAAAAAAATAAAAAAAAAAAAAAAAAAAAAAAAAAAAAAAAAAAAAAAAAAAAAAAGAGATTTTTTTGCTTCTAGATGTAAAAGCAATATCCCTTTTGAACTAAAAACAGACACAAGCAAGATAGTTATTAATTATAAGCACAGATGTTTTTGTAAAAAAAAAAATAATTAATTAATAATAATGCAAATTTACAACACTGCATAACATACAAAGCACATGTAAAATGAGTTGAAACATCTGAAAGTAAATTGGGACGGACGCCAATAAAGAAAAATGTTGTGCTATTTGTTGAACTCAAATTTTGATACAGTTCAGTTAAATTTTTATCTTGGTCCAAAGAACAGCAAGAAATAATAGAATGGCAACAGTAAAAGGGGTAATCCTAAACATTTTAAAAAAAAAGTTTTTTGTTTGTAAATTCTTATGAAGTATGTGCAATATTAGGGTAGAAAACACAAATCTAAAAACAGTACAAAATGTTTTTAAGACTAGCAGAAAAATCAATCACATGAACTTAGAGAATATGTGTAAAAACCTAACTAATTCTAAAACTTTGTTGTGTTGTGCTGGTATCCAGATTTCACACCAAACTATATCACTTTGGGGACGAGCAGAGTCTAATAAAATGTGAACCAATTTGATATTTGCCTCTTTAGGAAATGGTCTTTCATCAATTAAATAAAATTATTGAAAGTTTCCATTTGCATGTTATTTCACGAATGCAACACTTTTATTCTTATCAAACATAACTCAAGAGTTAATGATTCAAAAGTCAAATTCATCCAGACTCCAGGACACTTATTAGTTAAAGACAATAAAATGCTGCATGAGTTATGCCAATCACATTTAATAGAGTCAACAACAAAAAATTCATGCCTGGCTTCAATGTTTAAGTAGGAAATTAAAAGTTTTACATATCTTATTATAAATAAATAAAAAAGCAAACAATAAAATGTATGCTCTTTAAAGATCCTTTAAAAGTCCAGGACAATTCTGGAGTGATTCAATTTCTGCTTGTTTCAAAAAACACTAACTGAAGTGGATGAATAAATTTTTTGTTGTTGAGATTTGACTTGCAAATGACAAATCCTGGGCTTTTCAAGGATAACAACTTGCAAATATACTAACCTTCTTCTTCTTTAGTTTTTTAGCGTGAATGTCCATAAGAGACTCAGGACGTTTAGATTTCTGAAAACAAACGACATCAAGCATTTAAACAAAGTACAACAGCTTTAAGACAGTTGTATAACACAGATGTTGGCAGAGACAGGAGATTCAGATATTGGATAATTTTAATGATGACATGTACATACAAAAAAAAGGACTAAACATATTTTTTTGTATCCAAATTAAAGGTCACATCTGATTTCTTAGACTCAAATATTATTAAAAATATATTTCCCATATATGTTGATTCGTTTATAAAATTAGCCTGTTCATTGTATTAAATATTGATTTATGACTTTATATAGAAAAGAATTAGAATGCTTATGTCCACATTCTTATTCCAAAGTGTGAATCAAAATTTGCAAAGAATAAATGGTCTACTTTGAGGGATGTAACTGCAAGTCTCTGTTACATATTTAAAATTAATAAAATGTTTCTATCTAAGGCTGCAGTTTTCAAATTTTTTCTATCCAAGGTCGCAGTTTCCAATTTTTTTAATCGAGGCACCCAAGACAATTTCTTTCCTCTGAACCTTAAACAAACAATTTTTGTGCTATCTGGTGTAGAATTATGAATTATATGGTTTATTTAAACAAAAATTAAAACTTTTAAAATTTTTTACTCAATGACAAACTGCAAAATATCTGGAACAGCAAAAAAAACTGGTCCAGATTTTAGCATAAGCTATGAATACATCAGTTTTATACCAACTAGTTGTCTTAGCCTGTGTTTAAGAATTTATCAGTCAGGAATTTCTCTTAGTTAGTTAATTGCTCACATATACTCTAGTGGAAAAAACCTCTGATGGCTGTATGTCCAAATGAAAAATTCTACAAAGAGATAAAAATTCATTAAACCTTCACTTTTCACTTCTTGAACTACAATGAGAGCCTCTATTTAATCTTAGAAACATTACACCTTTCAGCACTCACTTATCAATGTATGATTCTTAAAGATTTTTGCAGTGAAAATCTGTGAGGCCTCTAAAAAATTCATTTGGAACCCCAGGTCTGTATATACAAGCTTAATTAGTTTTAAGTTTTGAGTCCATTTCAGAAAAGAGTTCATTAAAAATATTGTCTTTCAAATTATTTTAATACATAAAAAGCTGGTGCGTGTATTACGTTTTGAAATATTTTTTTAATTAGGAAGTTAGATAGGAAGAATAAACACTTAAGAGCAATTACTGTGTTTACATACATCAACACTGCCTCTCACAACTGATTTTTTACATAATTGCAAGAAAATACACAAATATGGATAAAAACTAAGATTTACTATTAATCTTTTATAATAATAATTTGTTTTTATCTTAATATTCTTAGATTTTTTCTTCTTCTTTCTTTAAAGCAGTTAACTAATTAAGTTTAAGTTATTTAAAAGAAATTCCTCTTCAGCTTTTAAAAAAATAATGTCAAGACACCATTTGGAAATTAGAAGTTTGTTTAAGTATGAAATTAAAAAAAAAAAGCAAAGCACATAGTCTATAAAATTACATATCTGACTAATTCCAATAATTACTGAAAATCAATCATTCTTTTAAAATTCCCAACATAAACGAATGTGATGAAACAGAGAAAAATCTACTTTTAATTAGATGACAAAAGAATTGTTCTTAAGGGCAATTAAATAAAATGTGTACCATTGTTTGGAAGCTTACTAAGCATCATATCAAATACAGCCTAAGCTTTCATTTGCTTTTAGATGGTGCCAAGAGCATATTTCTATTCAAATCTAGATGTTTATTAACTTATAATAAACTCTAAATTATTTAAAAATTACTATAATTTTTTTAAAAGTTATGGAAATTGCCAATTTTTTAAAATAGAAAATTAACACTTACAGACCTGTTTACTCCCAAGCTCATAAACGTGTACAATATTGTCTCAAAATCATAAAATACTGTATCTTAATAAAAAAAATATTCAGCATATATAATATATACAATAACTACTCGCATCACGTGTCCAGAGGAATCGAGTTAAGCTGGAGTTACAAAGGGGAACTGAAGGCAAAAATTAGATAACTGACGTTTATATTGCAAACTGCAGTAACTTTGGTTTACAGACGTGTATCTGCTATAGATATCAATTAATATTTAGTTGAACATGCAGATCACATTATCTGTCTGTCCCCAGTAAAAGTAAAGCTCCTAGTGAAATTTAATGTAGTTCAAACTCGAGGTCAGATCAACTAAAATAAAGTTTAATGAAATAACAATCAATACCCATTATTCCTATTTCCTGTGAACATATTATAACAGTCTGTTAAATTTCACAAGCTTTAAATGGGTGAGAGGAAGAAGGGGTATTCAAAATCGTAAGGCTGTTTTGTGCGTTCTAAAAACAGATTTCAAAGGCCTTCTCAGATCCTATAAAATATGTCAAAATCTAATATTGCTGCGTGGAGCAGTTGAGTATGCATTCATTAGTTTTCTGAGTTTCTGTACTCTACGGGTCAGACGTCAAAAATTATAATGTCACAAAATTATGCAAATTTTCCTATATGGGCCGCTTCCAAATATTACAAAATTTCATAACTTTATTTCCAATTTTAATTTAATATGACAACTTTCAGTTATGGTACAAACAGTAACCCACTTGAGTAGCTACTGTTTGCAATTACTAGATGGCGCTTAGTGACCTACATACTTGTTATTGGTATATTTATATTTACCCAGCCCTTTATTTTATTTTGTTTATGTATTCACTATTTCCAAGTGCACTTATTAGAATTTCACACAAGGAGCCTGGTGAAAACAAAAATTTGGCATAGGCGACAGGAAACAAAATTTTTAGAACCACTGAAGTAGCCCAACGAAATAGACGTCACACGCAAATTGAACATACAGTGGACTAAATGTTACTGTAATACCTCTACTACTGAGTAATATCTGAGAATAGCTAGCGAGTTCATTAGTTAAAATACATGGCAAAATCACAATGATAATTTCTACTAAACATCAGGTGGTATTTAACAGCATTGGATATATAAATATGCTATTTTTGGACTTTCATAGTTTCTGGATGAATACTGTTGAAATATTTAATAACACCCATACTTTCTGCCAAGGACACCCCCCCCGCCCCCTGCCAGTGTTGACTGTATAGATTTAAATATTTAGACCCGCCCTCTCATACACAAAATCTAAATAAAAAATCACTCCCTTTGCCTCTCAGGGCTAACGTATTATAATTATAGAAGGTCCCCAACTAATCATATTTCTCGATCCATTCACTACTGGACGTAGAATGCAAATGCAAGTTAAAACTAAGAACCAGAATTGTACTTTTTAATTATTTTTTTTTTAATTGGAAAAACGAACAGAATGTATATATTTTCAACCTAGTCTCTTAAAATCGTAGTCCTGACAGGTTTTGACGTACAATCGTAAAAGATATCTCAAAACTGTACATTGTGCACCAAAATCGTAAGAGTAAACAGGTCTGCATTTACATATTCCATCCCTATCAAATTAAATGGATTAGTTAATAACTAATGCAGTGTTTTAAGAGGTTTTAGTTATAAGATATCAGCTACAATCATTTACATTTTTACGTTGCGCAGTGAGCATTTCATGCAAAATACTAAATTAGCTTTACAACATATGTAAGCATATGATTTTATCTAGGAATATTATTTAATACACTAATTCCAACATTCCACCAGCCATGCAACAAAGTAGAGCTGAAGTAACTGAACTTAAAAAGCAGACATAGAGCCAGAATTTAAATGGCAAACTTCAGCAAAAACACAAATAAAGCAAGACTTTTTACTTACATTGTATTCCTCAACTTGCTGCTGCATCTGTTCATCTCTTGCCAAAGCTGCCTTGTCTTCATCCCTCTTTCTTTTCTTCCCTTTAGAACTCTCCTTTGTTTTATACAGAAAATAATATAATCAATACTAAAAGAAATGGTTAAATGGCTGTTTTATTATTCGCAACTAGAACATTTCAAGACTCTTCATTTGCAAAAGAAATTGTTCTCAAATACCAAAAACTGTAATATTACATTTCTAGTTTTATCCTACTTTTTTAACAATTGAATGATTTAAAGGATTTATTTGTACAATAGCTGCCTTTGAAGTTAGCACTGATTAATTTTGGTTTTTAATTTGGTTCTCCTCTTATAAATATTAAATTTAATCACTGTTTTGAAGTTCCAATTACCTGACAAGGCTCATTACCTAAAAATAGTAAAATAAATCATTTTGTTGGATGCAAAGATATTTCCAGCAGTTCTGGACTATCCTTGCCCCTCTTTAGGTCATACAATTGCAAGTTAACATAATAAACAACCTGTTAATGCAACAAAAAAGTAAAAACTCGTTCACCCAGTTTCAAAAATGATCTCCACGCAATCTTTTTCTCCTCTCCAGGAATATTTAATATAAGGGTAAAATGCTCTAAACTGAATATGTCATAATCAAATGGGATCCCCAAATTATAATTTTCCTTACCTTCTCCTTTTTAACTAAGGGATTATCAGTCCAGCTCGATCTGTCTTTGTTGTCCTCTTGTTGACCGCTACCTTTTGAAAAAGTTCGACTTTGAAGGCCAAAGTTTTTCCCCATTTCTGGAGGCAGTTCAGTCATCCATTCTTCTCGTTTACTTGGACCTTCCTCAGCTTCGACCTAAGAATATATAAAAATCCTTTAAAACATCAAATAGAGAAAAACAAACTCTTAGAAGCAATAAATAAAACAGCCTATTTTAAACATTTTTGCAGTCCCCCCCCCCTCCATCACCATACATTTCTTTATATTAAATTTCTATAAAAAACAAACTCTTAAAAACAATAAATAAAACAGCCTATTTTAAACATTTTTCCAGCCCCCCCCCCCCCTCCATCACCATACATTTCTTTATATTAAATTTCTATATTGTCAATTCATAAATATATTAAATAATATTATCTACTTTTAGTCTTAAGTGAGCATGCAACAGCTGAAGTAACCACTTTGATAGAATATGTGTTTAAAAAAATTTAACAGTTTTATGCACCTTAACTGTTAGTTTATCCTTCATGCGCTTTGAGCGGCGTTCAAATTCTTCTGCAGCCTGAACAACATCTTCTCCATCTTGGTTCATTTCGGATGGCAATGGACCTATAGCTTCACCTTCCTGGAAATCAACAATATATATATATATATTTATATAACTAAAAGTTATGAGAGAGATTCTACAAAATAACACTATTTATAGTAAGGTTTTGCTCTCTTAAGAGTATTCAGCCACAAAGGTAGAAATTATTTCTATGTAAATTTGATTTTATTTTTTTTCAAGGATAATAAAACTAGTGGAACTGGCGCTGTTATTTCTATAAAAATCCATTTTTATGGTAAACATAAAGTTCAAAATGTAAAACCTGAGTGTCACCATCATCTTCATCTTCATCATCTTCATCATTATCTTCTTGTATTGAATATTCAGGTGACATTTCAGACTCCATCTTTACAGTAAGTTGGCCTTCATCACTAAGATCATCACTGTCTGAAGATTTCTGCATACCAGGTGGAAGGCTGGGACCAAGGACCCTGCCTCTTTTCTTGGTTGAGCTTTCCGCTGTACTTTTTCTAGTTTTACTTGTCACAACCATACCTTTAAAAGAAATATTTGGGAGAATTTTATTCAAGAAATAATATTAGGCCACAAAAGTTGATATGTTATGTTTACAAACTACTTCCTGTCAAGTAATTTGTGATGTCTGTTCTCTTTCTTTTTGTTCATTTGCTTATGTTTTGTATTGTTGCTTTTTAGAAGGAAAGCATACAGCCACAACATTTACTCCATTTTCTCGATTTGCTGCAAGATATCTTGTTTTGAATATTGTTTTCATGCGACTTGCACACAGTCTGTACTATATTAGCCTTAAATAACACAGAATTCCTAGTTCAAAACATCAACACTTCGTAAGGATAATGAGTGTTCTTCATGGAAAATTTAATTTTCAAGGCTCAAAACAAATTTTAAAAAATAATTAATTAATCCTTGCTGAATTGCCAATTACCAACGTTGTAAATAAAAATGCTGCGCATTGCAAAAAATGCTTGGTTAGGAATCAACAAAGTTCATAAATCTATACTGCTATGTAACAAATATTGTTACCTTTTTGAAATACCAATATGCCACCCATTTTAGTTATTTCGCCATTTCATGGCACAGTTTAACATACTTTTCAGGGCAAGAAAGACCCACTCAGTTTTAAAACAGAAAAAATTATTTTTAAAAGTGTAGTGGGGTTGACAGAAAATGTGTCACTAAAGAGCTCAAAGTACTAAAACCCGAACACTTTAAAATATGGAACTATAGCGGAAAGAAAACCAAGGGAACCTCTATGACCTATATACCTTGGAAATGGAAGATATGGACAGTCGCATCACAAAATTAATTATAGCCCCTACTCAGTATTAGACTCAATCAATCAATTGGCCCATTAAATTCAGTGACTCTTTACAACTTCTATTTCTATCTGTAGCCACATCTTTAATCTTGTCAAAGATGTCCCTTATCATATGAACAGAAGGTAACCAAAGTTGGATATTCATGTGGTTATGTCATATTTTAGTAAGCGCACGTTAAATTGCAACATTATAGAAATGAATAGCATATGGGTTATTCGTTTTCAACCAATAAAAAAAAAAGGCATTTTTAACACCATGCGCATGCCTTTTTTCCGGTGTTCATCTTGGGATATCAACAAGGATGAGTTTCTCTTTTTATTCCTTTTGAACCTTGTAAGTTGAATTTTAATTAGACTATTAATAAAAAAACGATTTAGAAAGTTTAATTTACTTCATTTTTAACTATATCAATCATCAGATTTTATTTTTGATGCTAATAATGCTCAGTGGAAATTTATACTTCTCATCGTTCAGGTCCAACTGTTGGTCCACTCACCATAAGTCCAGTGTTGGGATTTCCTAAAGTGACGTCTCTGCGCTTAGGGTGAGACAACTCTTGGCAAAACCCATGCCGCTAACTGCACATTTACCACCTACTGTTAACTTTAAAGATATGTCTAGGGGGCTGTCCATAAAAAATGTCATGCTCCGGGAAGGGCGTCTAAGAAAGTATGACAGTTTGTGGGCCTGTGGGGGGTAAAGATTTTGTGTGACATCACACATTATTTTTATTATCGAAGTGTCTACATGTTCGGCGACTGGACGAATAATTCTCAAGATATTCTACCGGTGACCAGGTCACATGACTGCCGTAACAAAGTTGGGCGATATATCTGTTTGTCAGCCTTGTCACGTAACCGCTAATAGTCGATAAAAAACTGGTGTCGGAGATGTATGGGGGACGACGAGTATACACTTCATTTCAAGAAGTAAGTGGGTGGGGTGGGAAGCAATATATACTAGAAGGAAGAAATACTGAGAGCGAGAGAGAAAGGATAAAAATGATAGTGAGGGTGATAAATAATTAAGGCGGGGAGGTCGAAAGTTCACAAAGAAATAGACCCTACATCTTTGTTAGGGCCAAAATAGTGAGCTATCGGGGTAGCCTACCTATTTCTCACGCAATATTAATAGCCTAAAATAAAACTTTTTTGACAGTAGATCTATTGACTGTCAAATAGCAAGTATTGGTCTTATTTTCTTTGGTTCATATTTTAAATTTAGGCTACTACGTAGAGCTTTATAAGATATTTAAACCAACATAATAGACTTTAAAAAAAAATTTTGCCGGCGACCTCTTGTCACATGACATGTCTGCCTGAATAATAACACATACTAGTCGTACGGCGGCCAAGTGACATGCCCGCTGGAAGAATATCTCCCGCACTATTTGTCCGGTAGCGGGACGTGTAGACACTGTCTTTTATTATACATATAAAACCTGAAATTGACAATGTTGTTGAACTTTGGATTGTGATGATGTATTCTGACAGAAGAAGTCACTTTAACTTTAATAAATTTAATAATTTAAGTTAAATAAATAAATGTTTTTCAACACATTTTAGTTCAAAAGTGTGACATATTGTGGCCACCTTAGATTTGTACCAGATTGTGACGGGGAGAGAGGGAGTAAAAATTGTCAAAAAATAGCATGACAAACTTTATGGCTGGGTAGTGATTGTGATAACACTTTGAATGATTTTGATATTATTTATCCTACTCACTCTGATAGCATCTTAATTTTTAGTTTGGGCCTATCTCCTATTGCCAAGTTACTTTTTTAATGTTCAGCTTATGAAAAAAAACTTGGCCATGAATAAAAGCTATCCTATTCATCTACAATTTATAATTAGTCTGATCATTTATTAATTGAGAATCGGCAATCCTCCGAAGTCCGGTCCTAAATTATTTCAAATGATTACTCCTTACTTAAAAGTCTAGGCATCACTTTGTTTGAAATTCATGTTTGCGTATATTTCATTAGTTTGGTCATTTTGCCAGCAGCACAACTGGGCGGAATTGAATTAACTCCTTGTGAATTGTATGCTGTAATGTCAAACAGGCGTGAATGGTTGGAGTGGCTGGCCCAACACGGCTTGATCGGAAACAACGTTAATTGTGGAACATACAGATGCCCAATGGCATTAGTCGCTCTTGTGGAATGCAGTGGTGTTTTTTTTGGTGGCATTTTCGCCCACGCAACACCCGCAGTAGCATTAGAACGGGGTCATTCTTTGCCAACTGCAAACTAACAACTGAAAAAATAGTTATGATCATGTATTATTGGGTTTACGAAGTTAAGTGTAAACACGTTATGTTTTTCAAGAGTCTGGTTTGCTGGGACACTATTGTCAGCTATAACAACTATCTTCGTCAGGAATGCTGTCAATGGATATTGAGAACCAATCGGGGGGCTTCGATGCAAGTGGCCAGTCTGTTTTCGTTGAGATGGATGAGAGTTACTTTTTCCATAGAAAATATCACTGTGGACAGCGACGTGTTGATAAGTGGGTTGTCGGCTTGGTTAGGCGTCATGGTAGTGGATGATGTTGGATGGAGGTTGTTGGCCGTCGAGATGCAATAACGCATTATCACTAATCATGTGTTACCAGGGAAACTATCGTCACGGACACTTGGCGAGTGTATCAAAATGTCACTCAGTCTCAGCTCAACAACGGGATTTATGCTCACGCTGTCATTGTGCACGTGCATGAATTTTTTGATCCAGTAGACCAGGTCATTCACGCAGAAAGTATTGAATGACTTTGGATGCAAGCGAAACGTAAACTCAGCTATCAGAGTGGTAAAAGTCGCAGTCTGTTCGCCAGCTACTTAGGGGCCTTTCAGTGGCGCATCAGTCACAAGCAGAACGTTTTCGGCAAATCCTATGCGCCATTTACAACATTTAGTATTTACTGACACTTGCAAAAGCTATGACTGACATTTCTGCTGTTTTCTAACAATACACACTGTGCATTACAATTATTTTCATACAAAATAATTAGGGACCGGGCTTTGCAGGATTGCCAGAGTCTTTCAATATAATTATAATATGAAGTAGGCCTAGCCTTAACATGTGAAAATAGTTGTAACTAGGGGTGTGCCGGATCCGTTTTTTCCAACCGGATCCGGATCCGGATTTTCTTATGCGAAATCCGCCGGATCCGGATTCCGGAATAATCCGGATTCCGGTTTCTCCCGGATTTTGGTACTATTGGTAGATACTTCGGTAAGTCAAGGTGGACTACTACTTTTTGTGTATGGGAATTCGCAATCGGCGCCAAAAAATCCGAGTTTTTAATTTTCCGATGTGTGTGTCTATTTATTATTAAATTAGTACTTTCGATATATATTTGAGTTCCGTTCCATTTGGATAAGTGTCTTACGAGAGACGCCATGTTTCTACGCGTTCGCAGCAGGTCATGCAGCTCGCTCAACCTAATTTCGCCATGGGGTTGGCCACGCCCCCCTTTTTAATGGCGGAAGTTGACGATACTTAGGAAATATTAATTTATTATCACTATTTACATCAAAATAATTGATAACTTGTGTTTCAGAATGCATTTAAAGACATTTAAACTGGAATGTTTTAATTTGAGCTTTAACAACCCGGTAGAATCCATATTATAAATGATCAGAATTTACCGTGTGCAACACGTTGTCATTGGCAACCATTCACAGCCACTTGCATAACTGTATCGTAGTACTACCTCAGAGTTTCATTCATAAGAGTTTGCCGTGTGCAAAAACTATTAAACCATTGGTCAGGGAAAGCTTTAATTAATTATTCATGTGCCAAAGTTGAAAGTTTAAACTAAGTCTAAACAGTATTTTAGTGATAAGGCAGGGAATGCGTTGCCTTATATAAACTATATAGTCATTGCGCATGACGGGATTGGCGGAATGAGATCACAGAATGTGGAGATGCAGTCCATGTTAAAAAATGACAAACCAAGTCGTACTTTAAAAATTCATAACTTTAAAACTACAACAGCTAAAAATATGATTTTGGTGTTATAATTCTTTAAAAAATTACATCTTTTCAACTATGCCATTGGTTTATTTTTACAAAAAGTTTAAATTTTCTTATCAAAGTCCCTACACTATTGGCCACTATTAGCGGTGCTGACTCTAGCCTCTGGTATGTACGGAATATTAAACATTAAACAAGCTCAACGCTCGAAACAATCGATTAATGTATCGTGATCGTGTGGAATTCGGGAAAGAGAATTACTTTTATTTCAGATTATGATCCGGTGAGTCACAAAATCTGGCAAATTCCGAAATCCGGTATATTCCGGATTCCGGAATCCGGTTGTTCCGGATACATGTAAATCCGGCGGAACCGGATTTCACCGGATAGTGCAAAATCCGGCGGAACCGGATTACGGACCGGACTCCGGCACACCCCTAGTTGTAACCCCCCCCCCCCCCCCTCCTGGCCTAGTTACTAAGTTAAAACTACACTTCTAATTACTAGGTTACAATTCAAGTCTTCAGTACACTGGGCCCCTGCATGTACTGAACAGTTCAGTACTCACACAACTTTCTTTTACTTCTACTTTCTAGTAAGAGGTAAGATCAAACTGAAATTAATAGTAATAGTCTTATTAAATTTGCAGTCAACTGAAACCATATTACACAACTCAGACTCTGTTTGGGTATACTCTCTGTTTGCATGATGTGATTAAATTAGATATACTGTTATTAAAAGGCAGATAACTTGAGTATTACTTATTAGTTCAGACTCGGCGCCTTGGCCGTAGATAGGACTAAATATAGGAGCACACCGACGCTTTACTTGACCCATAACACTTGAGTTTTACATGAGGGGCAATTACCTGGGGGCAACGACGGTCCATACTGATCTCCTCTTTCCATAACGTGCTCCTGTACAAAGTTTATTATTTAAATGCAATTTTTTAATGCAGAGAAATTTAATATTTTGAGTCATTTTTCACAGAAATTAACAAAGGGTTAACGGCAGCAAACCGCCATCTTTGATTTACCTTTACGTAGGCGTTCTGTTACAAGTAAGATGATTGGTTTAGGCAGGGAGATAAACCAATCAATGTAACGCTACCATTCACATAGCGGTAATTATCTAATGTCATGAATTCTGAATACTTCCGGAGTAGGCTCTGATTTTGTTGCTCAGTATACGGCACGGAATAATTTGTAATAAATCATTATAAACCCGCACAATATAAATTTTTAAAAAAATTTTTAAAATGCCAAAAGCGAAAGGCGGAGGAGCCAGTGGTGCCTCAAAGGGGGGTGGTAAAAGTAAAGGTGCTGAAGGTGGTGATGATAGCGCCGGGAAGGCAGCAAAAGGAGGGACGGCTGTTAAGGGAAGGTGGAGTGTGTAGTTGTAGTAATAATTGTAGTAGTTAGTAGTAGAAAAAAAAAGTAGTAGTAGTAGTTATAAATTATAGTTAAAGCCAAATCATTATTTATAAATTGTTAAAAATAGCTATAGTCAGTACAATGTACAACCATCGTAGTATATGATTAATGATTGATACATATTTTTATTAGATAACTAAGTAAGAAAACTATAGGCCTACTATACACTTATACACTGTAATGTAAACTATAACATAACTATATTTATTATTTATACTATAATTATAAATTAAACATAGTCTTAGTCCTCTTTAAGTCTTAAGTTAACTGTAAGATATGAGTGTGGCCAGGGTACCTCAAACTGATTATCACTAATACTAATATCACTGATACTGATGATCATGCGTATGCTGATGCTATGCAGCATAGTATGCGCACTACTAGCCCTCCATGGTTATGACTATACTCTACTATTAACTATAGGCATGGCACTTTATTTTTTAAAATCATTTTGATATAAAAACAATCATGAATGATAGTTAACCCTCAGTTGTGTCAATTCTGTGATGATGGATTTGTTCCTGACCAGTGGTGTAGCTACGGTTCTTGCCCAGGGCGGGCAAAGTTTTTGCCACCCACTTCCACAAAGAAACTTAATAGTTGGCCATAAATACTGCCTCTCCATAAAAGGGGAAAAAAGTGCTCATTCTGCACTACCCTTCCCACGCTACTGTTCCAGCAGTCTCTGTTGGGTGATTTAATCTTGCCACCTTAGATACTCTGCTTCTTTGTAATGAGCAGGAGATGAATGGCCCAAGGCCTGTAATAACTGAAGTTCTCAACAATTTACAGATTGTACCCATCAATAAAGAAGCAGATGACAAAGATTGAGAATACAACAATACAATCTTGCTTCACTCCGCTGCTAACTTGAGAGTTCTCCAACGTTGAAGCACATTGTGATAACATCACTATGTGTTTGTGGAATGAATTGATGAGAAGTCCACTCTTGATTTAACACAAAGTAAACAGTGATCCACTATCACCAGTTCAATCAACACAGTTTCATTTAAATATGAAGGGAATGAGAAAAAAATAAGTAGCAGCAATAACAAATGATTTTACTTGGGATGCCCCCACTGCCATTTGAAAAAAGCCTGAAAAACACTGAATTAGAATCTCAGACAATTGCTCGAGTTCAGGAGTGTCTTTATATCAATTTTGTTGGTATTATTTCCAGTTCTAGGTTTTTTCCATATTCATTATTATGATAATCATAATATCCTCCATCTTCATCAGTAGTAGTTTATCAAATTTATTTCTTTTCTCACTCACAACAGGTGCGTCATATACTTTGTGAAAAACAATCCAAAGCTTTAGAAGCCTTAGAAAAACTGAAAAGTGGTATGAAATTCAATGAAGTGGCAGCTCAGTACAGTGAAGATAAAGCTAGACAAGGAGTGAGTGAACATATTCTGTTCCATTATGACCTCATATCTATAAAATCATACATAGTACCGGGTACTTAGCCATGCTTCTTTTAAAATAGGAAATGAGTAAAACAAAGTAAGGTCAAACTTGAAAAGAGGAATGCACCAAAGCAATGAAAGTGTCGGCAGGAATCCTTCGTCAGTGAAAAAAACCACAATTCTTTTGCTTCCCTCTCAGATACTGCGTTTCAGCTGAGTGCTATTTTAAATTTTATTGTTTTTTTTCTCTTGTTCATTCGCTGAAAAAGGTTTCCTGCTGACACGTTCGTTGTTAAAAAAGCAGGTTTGACCTTACTTTGTTTTACTGATTTCCTATTTTTCTAACCTGATTGCAGTTTCTTAAGTTCACTTACCTAAATATAAATTAATTTATTCATCTTTCTTTTCTTTTTTTAAATTACACTATTTTTGCGTGATACCAACTACAACTTGAGAGATTTTTAATCAAACTTAAATTGCGAAATCTAAAAACCATAAGAAGAATGCCTATTTCCTTGGCTGGTCTTACCAGTCATCATATGAGCCCCTCTTCTTTGGCTACTTTTTATTTTGAGAAAATTATTTTCTTTAATATGCTGTACACCCATACATTAAAAAATTAAAGTTTGAAATAATGTCATAATTTTTTCCCCTCTTATATTAAATTAAGTTAAGTGATATGCATTGCAATACAAAAATATTTTCTTTGTTTTTGGAGGATGTTCTTAATTTCAGAAAAATGATTAACTGTAAGCCTGCTGAAGTATTTTAAAATATTCACTTTGGTGACTAATTTAAAATGACATAGATTTTTCTTGAGATTACTCCTACTGTTTATCTAATACAATACCGGTACCAGTACTAATCTTTTAAAAATTAATGCACTACTACTACACTTAAGCTGTTTGTAAAAAAAACAACTTTTTCTTTAATACTGTACCTGAAGGGTGACCTTGGATGGATGACAAGAGGCAGTATGGTTGGACCATTTCAAGATGCAGCTTTTGCCCTCGCCAACAGCACAATAGACAAGCCAAATTACACAGATCCACCAGTGAAAACAAAGTTTGGTTATCACATTATCATGGTTGAAGGAAAAAAGTAACGGTGACGATGTTGTTGCAGTTTAGCTAAAGAAGAAAGTTCTAAAAGACCAATGCCACTGTGTCTTGGCTCAGGAAACTATTTGATTAAAAACATGGTGTGGAGTGTCCTTGTGTTTCTATTCATAAATGACATTGGAAAATGGAACTCGGGTTCTTAAAACTCTCTGAGTATTAAAGTTAAAGATTTAATTAATGATGCAATTGCAATAAATTTATTCAATTTCCATAAGTTGAATTTACAACTTTCATTTTCATATGATTTACTTCATTAAAAACAGACAAAATTTAATTTCTCCACTTCTTTTGAGTTTGTGTGTGTATGTAGTTGATTAGTAGCAGTTTGGAAAAAGTAGACTGTTATTCTTTTTTATTACCTAACTGATTATTGACCCCATAGTACTTACTAGTGAAAACTCTCTTCTCATACTCAAGTAAAAAAATGTATATAATTTATAATAGATCAGAAGGCTCTGCATAGTAATAGTACTGTTATTATGTGCATATCAATTATGTGCAATGACTCAAAACTTTTTATGACAATAGATTCTTCTGATCGCCCATTTATTTCCTCATAGACTGTTGAAATTATAAAGGAAATAGTGGAACAAGACATGTTTAGGCTTGAAATTATGTAAGCTACTATTACTACTCTTGGCTTTAGGCAAATAAAGAGAAAGACGAAATTAGAAAATTTAACTCAAAAGTTAAATCAGTTCTGTTTTATGGTTCAGTAAGTTGGCGATCAACCAAGAAAGATCGGATAATACTTCAAAACCTTTGTTAATAGATGTCTGCTTAGAATCCTTATCATATATGGTAGTGGTTCCACAAAATCCTAAGCACAGCATTGAGGGAAATAACAGCAAAATACCTTTAGAACTTAGAGCAAGAAATCCAGAAAACATGGAGATGGGTTGGTCATATGTATGATGACAAAACCCATTCAGAAATAACAAAACTAGCACTGGTTTGGATCCCTCGAAGATCAAGGGAACAAGAAAGACCCAAAAATATCTTTTAAATAGAGGTCAACAAGAATGTACCGGTGATAAAGACTGGAAATAGTTAAAGAAGAAAAAATTGAAAATAAATTGTGAATGGCCTTAGCTAGACAGTTTGTCCCCAAACTTTTTATTGCCGCAGACGGTCAACGTTTGATAATTTTACCGTGGCCCGCTGAGTGGTTGGGGGTGTTGATTGTTTATATTTTGGATTGTTTTATAATTTGGTTCCTGCTGTGAAAACTGTGACTGCCCTCTTTGCCCCATTCCCATGGCTCTGCCTGAGGGCAAGATGGCACCCAGAGCGACGCATAATATGGGATCACTGGGCTGGCCAAATTGTCCGCTTTATAACCACACGAGACTCATTTAAAAAAAATAAAAAAATTATCCTGTGACTTCACAATTACCCATTAAATTGTTTGATGTCTGTTTTTTTTTCATAGGGATGGGGGCTAAAAGCTACATGTACGTATGAGTTTGGGGGGGTAGGGAGTGTCCCCTCCCCCCCCACCAATAAAAAAATCAAGCACATAACTTCACCCCCACCCCAACCATCTGTATGGTTCCGGTTGCTGTGAGCCTTTGTGTCTGCACATCCATACTTATCATCCAGAAAATCTGGCAAGCTTATAAAATGGAAATAATTTAATGTTTCTTGGGCGGCCCGGTACCATTTGATCCACGGACCGATACCGATCCGGGGTTTGGGGACCGCTAGAGTACCTCATGAGATTACACTAAGGATTAATTGGATTTGTTTATGACGATTATTTAAAATTTATTTAAAATTAAGTTCTTTTTGTTAGTGTTATAAGTTGATAAATTGATCACTTTAATTATATTAACAGCAAACACAATTTAATCAGTGAACAACAGATGGAGGCGTAATAAAGAAAAAACTTTATTTTTTAAATGGACTGTTAAGTTATCAAACTGCAGGCACCCGGACAAAACTTAACAAAAGTAACTTAGGCAAAAAAAACGTTCATAACTAAGTGAAGTAAAGCAAATTAATACAAATTATAAACCTAACAGTAACAGCCAGGCAATTATTGTAATCAAACAATTTGTTTTCAAACTATCAAATGCTTTAAAAATATTTTGCTTGCAAGAGACTTGGAGAAACTTCGATATACTGAAAAAGCTGATGAACTAATTAAATCGACTATTTGTTAGCATAACAATTGTGAGGTCATAGAAACTGCAAAGTATATTTTTAGTTGCTCTATTTCCCCCTCTATTATGTTCTTCAAAATCCTTCCACAAAATAAAAAAAAAATTGTGGCGAACGTTTAAATGGGAATGAACATCTTATGAACAGAGAAGAGAATTAGAGCACTGAGTGCAACATGACTTTAACATTGAATGAAAGGTACCCGGTGGCAATGTTATCACGCTATTAGTCCTATTGGGTTTCACTTGAAATATCAATAGGTGAAAATAATTGTGCTTTCAAGCGGTTGCATGAAGCAAAACAAAACTAAAACAATGACAGAAATTAATATTTTATACCAAACATACAGAAAGACTTGACTTACACAGTAAAACCAGGGCCTAATAATTTTAATGAGCTACAATTTGGCTGAGAGGGCGGGCAGAAGACATTCTATATGAAGAACAATTTTGTTTACATGCATAAAGGAGATCGTCATATCGTAGACAGTAAACTATTTTAAACACATTTATTGGAAACAATGCCTTCCTAACAACAGCAGAAATATCACGCACAGTTTCAATGTGCAAAGCTGACCAGAAAGCAAGGTTAATACTAATACTTACATCATTAAAATGTTATTCTGCTGTTTATAACATTTAAAAAAAAAAAATGACACTTGATAAAAACAAATGAAGGTAATTTATTTATTATTGATATACCAGTACACACAAAATAACACACATGCACAATGATTCTTTTAAGGTGCTGTCTACTTACTCTCAAGTATAGATTGGCCATTACCAACAGCACTGGTTAACAGTTCAGCTTTGACCGTTGCATGGTTTTACAGATTACTGGGACACCATACATTAAGGAATTAGAGGGACACCATACATTAAGGAATTAGAGGGACACCATACATTAGGAGTTAGAGGCCATCAAATGATATCGAGCTTGATATATTTATCTGTAAATGCGCCAAGTAGCCTCATAATTAGCGGCACAACAACAATTAGCACAGTGGATGGTCAGCTCTTTAAGGAATGTAAAGCATTTACATTAGCTCTTTGACTCTTTTAAAACTGTGAGGTTTCATTTCAAACAATACAAGACTGATGGTGTCGTGCAATAGAGTATTAAGTGCAAGGGAATATAAACATTCACACATTCAAAAACACTTCCATAGCAAAATTTCATGGAAACTTTTAACATGATGAAAAGTTGAGAAGATGAATCATCTGTGCATAGCAGTACTTTCAAGGGATTACCAATAATCAAAATATATTTTAAAAATATTTTTAAAAAAAATTGTTTTAATGGGAATTTTTAAAAATTAAAAAACAGGTTTTTATATGCTATTAAATTTAAATGACATATGTACTGGTATTCTAATCATCTGGTCCTAAAAACTTTGCCCTAAACTGTATCTTTCCAATTTGAACTGCATTACAGTGGTGATGTTTGGGAGGTGATGAATTCAATACAAAATACAGAATGATCGTCAACAGGCCAACAAGAAATGGTAGAACTGAATATTAAATACATTTTTCTTCATTTTGTTTTTGTTTTTTTACACTCCAAATCATTAACATTTCTAAATTGGAGAAAGTTTTAACACCAGCAAACATGGGAATCAAAGTGTCAATTTAAAATTAATATTTAATCATTTTGTTTCTCCGACCTGAAAATAAAGTTCATTTACAAATAGATATATGATGTGTTGTTCCTTAAAATTAAAATATTTAAAATAAAAATTAATCACTCCCTAACAAACGGGATATAGTTCGATGATGTTTTCATTGATTATTTAAGTCAGTTTGATAAAGTTACTAAAGTATGTTTTAAATGCATGATGCAGCCAAACTGACCTTTCACATGGGTTTAAAAAAAAGTAATACAATCAAGTGTTGCACTGGTTTTGCAAAATCGAAAATCCTGATATTATACACTTAGTTTTGACTAAAGTAAACCGAAATTATGAAGAATTTTTTTTTGTTCTCTTCTTCTACCAATGATTGTATAACAAATAGTGTTTTATGTTTTCATCTCCAACAGTTTTCTGTGAACATTCTCACTGGATTAAACTGACTCGTATCCAGACTTGCGGGATCGCCTGCGTCCAATCAAGTATGCAATCAAGACAATGACAACGAGCCCAGCCAGTGCAGCACCAACAGCAATGGGCACAACGCTGCTAGTTTCTTCATCAGCTGAGCACTCAAAGACTGTACAGAAAGAAAGAGAAGAATAAGCCATTAATAAGTATTCTTTTACTTATATTTCATAATATAAATTGTTTGTTAGTGCGTTTGCTCAACATAAGCTTCAAAATTTTCCAGCAATACAATCTACATCAATGAAAGTGAAAATGTTTAAAGCACCTATAAGTTGAACAATAACGTTCTAATAAAACCTTTTTAATAATGCAATTTTAAATTGTAACTAAAATGGCCTTCTTCTAAGGGGCCCAAACCCTAATTTCAACTTAACTCTTATATTTTTTAAACTTTAGATAAAAACTTTAAAAATCGAAAGTACAAAGGTTGTGGATTTATTCATTTTAAGATTCTTGACAGAAACTTCAATGATTTTTTGAACAGTTAAAGAAGTGCCTTACGAATACACACCTGGACTTTTCCTGGTATATTGACTAGAAATACTTAAACTTAATTCTCCTTCACATATATCAGCAAAATCAGTTTGTAGCTTATGTTATAAAATATCATACATCATAATGATGCCTGTCATTAAATGTTTGCTAACATTTACTATATGTCACCTGATAAAAAGGGGGAAAGAATAACTTGAATTTTAATGGATAATTCAAAGGGAGAGATTTTTTTTTTCTTTTCCAAACTTACCAGAGCCAGTATTCAGGCTAATTTCCCCTTTCTCATTGAAGGCCTTATACTTGAGTTCAGAAGTGTAAAGTGTCACATTCTAAAAAAAAAAATAGTTGAAAATTCAATCTTTAACAGACCTAAATTTAATTTATTTATGAAACCAATGTTTTCCAAACTTTTCTATACCCTCCACCCCCTACAAAGTGTTTTAGTAAGTCTTGCACCAACTAAGTTTGCCTTAAATGCCCCCTTGCACACGCTGGGGGAAACCCTGCATTAAACCAACAAAAA